TGTCTTCTACGGTAACATGGTCACGTGACCTTTCTGTAATGCTGTTATTCTGGGAACTGTAGTTGTTATTAATAGTGTGATCACCTGGATGGTCTCCCCCGTAACCCTCTCCAGACCCCCAAGGACGGGGCTAATGGCACTGCTTTCATGCGTCCATTTATTGAGATCTAATTTTAATTCACTCAGAATCATTTTCCTAGTAAAGTTATCCTCCGAAGTAAAGCTTTTGTTGCTAGCGAAAGTATTGAGAGTATTAGAACCCCCTTCCACTACCCTCGTAGTGGGCCTCGTAGCCTGGTGGATAGCGCGCAGGACTCGTAATTCTGTGGCGCGGGTTCGATTCCCGCACGAGGCAGAAACAAATGGGCAAAGTTTCTTTCACCCTATGCCCCTGTTACCTAGCAGTAAATAGGTACCTGGGAGTTAGTCAGCTGTCACGGGCTGTTTCCTGGAGGTGGAGGTCTGGTCGAGGACCGAGCCGCGGGGACACTAAAGCCCCGAAATCATCTCAAGATAACCCTTCTAGTTCTAATATTATTACTTTTATAGAGTAATATATATTTAATATTAAATATATTCACATTTCACACAGAAATATTCATTTCATTTCACATAAATATACTACATTCACAGTTTCTTCACATTCACATATTTCCTATAGCCTATAAGCTTTCACATTCACAATATTTCACATTTCTTAAAATCAATATTGTGATCCTTTTCCCAACCATAGCTATCTTCAGCACTGTTGCCAGCCATGATTCTACATATTTTTATATATTCTTCAAATCTGATCTCCAGTTTTCACCCAATTTCCTCCCCCCATTACAATCTCTACCGGGCAATACATAACACGCCAACTCTACTCTATTCTCCCCAACTCTATTCTTACTAATCCTTTCCCCTAATTGTATTTGGGTAATTGAAAACGATGTTATATTTTTGTATGCCTCTGAAGCTGTTCTTCCCAACAGCTTCAGACGCTTCCTCATGCCCCCGCCCCCTTTCTCATGCCCCCGCCCCCTTTCTCATGCCCCTGCCTCCTTTCTCATGACCCCGCCCCCTTTCTCATGCCCCGCCCCCTTTCTCATACCCCGCCCCCTTTCTCATGCCCCGCCCCCTTTCTCATACCCCGCCCCCTTTCTCATACCCCGCCCCCTTTCTCATGCCCCGCCCCCTTTCTCATGCCCCGCCCCCTTTCTCAAAACAAACGAGTAACTAATATATTCTTCCAACATTTCACACAGCTAGTGTCCTTGCACCGACAGACCACCTCACCACAACGGTAGACTGTTCCATTATCTGTATAAGAGACACAGAGAAATTCACTGGACAAAAGAAACAAAGTCAGAAGTAGAAAGAGAAATAGACAAACATAGAGACAGAGACAGGCCTTCAGGGAGGCTGGGGTCGACCAGAGTAAGAGAAACAGGAAGACAGAGACAGAGACAGACAGTGACAGAGATAGGAAGAGAAGGAAGGAAGAAAAAGAGGGAGGGAGGATGTTAGAAAAGAGGGAAGGAGAAGAGGGAGAAAGAGAGGGGGGGAGACAGGTGAAAAGGAGACGGATGAGAGGGGGAGGAGGAAGGATAAGGAAAGAGAGATGAAAAACTGAGAAAGATTGGGTGAGAGTGATGAAGGGAGAAAAGCGAGGATGGAGAGAAACCCCAACAGAGCTGAGTCACCAATCACCCATAACCTTCAATGATTCTTTCAGTGATAATTCTAAAGACAGAGTGAACCCCAATCACCCAAACTCCAGTACCCAACACAAGAGAGACATCTCCCGTCACGCAGGGTGCAGTCGCACCTCCACAGATCTCCAGTATCAGCTCTTGATACTGATAATGGCTCAAAAGGGCCACCACTTACGGGCTATTCATGCCCGTGCCACCTTTTGGGTGGCTTAATCTTCATCAATCAATCAATCAGTACCCAAATGATGATGAACCACCACCAAACAATTGCCTTAAACATATAATAATTCCAATTAACTCCAATTATTATATATCGCGAGCATTCCATCAAATGCTCCCAGCTGATGCGTCCCTCTCAGCCTACCAGGAATAAATAGCTATAATGATTACATATTACAAATTACGGATTAATTACAGCCACTACAGCCTAGGCGGATATCAAAGGCCGCCCTGCGCGCACTGTTTCCAATCACGCAGCATTAAACGCATCTTCTTTCTATAATTACAACTCTGATATCAAATTGATTTGAAATTGTAGAGAAGCACTTTTGCCTATTGCAAATTTGTCCATAAACAGGAAATGTAATTTGTGTTTATAATCTGCAAAGACATTGTAAAACTAATTATGTATTTTTCTCGCATTTAAAACCAGACGTGCACAAAGGCTTAGTCCTCTGCACAGTGCACAAAGGCTTAGTCCTGTGCACAGTGCACAAAGGCTTAGTCCTGTGCACAGTGCACAAAGGCTTAGTCCTGTGCACAGTGCACAAAGGCTTAGTCCTGTGCACAGTGCACAAAGGCTTAGTCCTGTGCACAGTGCACAAAGACTTAGTCCTATGCACAGTGCACAAAGGCTTAGTCCTGTGCACAGTGCACAAAGACTTCAGTGCACAAAGACTTAGTCCTATGCACAGTGCACAAAGGCTTAGTCCTGTGCACAGTGCACAAAGACTTAGTCCTATGCACAGTGCACAAAGGCTTAGTCCTGTGCACAGTGCACAAAGACTTCAGTGCACAAAGACTTAGTCCTGTGCACAGTGCACAAAGGCTTAGTCCTCTGCACAGTGCACAAAGGCTT